CCGCGCTCACCGCCGAACGCTGCGATCCCCCCGCGCTCAGCGGCGGCGGCGGCCCGGGAGCGGGCGGGCCATGCCGCGGCCCGGCCGCAGCGACAGCGCGGCTCCTCCGGCGGCGGAGCGAGCCCCTACCTCCGGCGGTGCCTCCGCGGCCAGTGAGCATGTGCGGCACCGCGGCGCTCCCCAGCGAGCACGTCCCGGAGCCCGCCCACACTCGGGCACTGCGCGCCGGGAGGGGACAGCGGGGCCGGCAACCCCGGCACCCCGGCCCTCCCGCCCTGGACACGGGGCACCGGCGAGGCGGTGGGAGGTGGAGAAGGGGGTGGCGGAGCGAAGCATCCTCTGGTCTCTGGCGAGAGGAGAATGCGTTCGATGACGGTGTTGAGAGATACCTAACAGAGTTGGCAGGTACAAGAGATTAGCGAAGAGAGACTGAGTAGGATGAGAGGAAGAGGGAGTGCAGGCTTGCACAGGTTAGTGGAATGGTGGCTCAGTGGGCCGAGGCCAATTGTATGAGGCTCAACAAGGCCAAGTGCGGCATCCTGCCTTTGGGTCGCAACAGCCCCTTTAGCCCCGTGCAGGGCTACCGGGTGGGGGAGAGTGCCCAAAGCACTCTGGCTGCTGATCGACAGCCAGCGTGTGCCCAGGTGGCCAAGAAGGCCAGTGGCATCCTGGCCTGGATCAACAATAGTGTGGCCAGCGGGACCAGGGCAGTGATTGTCCCTCTGTACTTGGCACTGGTGAGGCTGCACCTCAGATCCTGTGTTCAGTTTTGGGACCCTCACTAAAGGAAGGACATCGAGGTGCTGTAGACAGTGCAGAGAAGGGCAACAAAGCTGGTGGAGGGTCTGGACAGTAAGTCCTATGAGGAGCAGCTGAGAGGTGGGCATGTTTAGCCTGGAGAAAAGAAGGCTCAGACAAAACTTTTCTGCTCTCTACAACTGAAAAGAGGTTGCATAAGGGTGAGGATCAGTTCTTTTTCCAGCAGTCCCTTACCAGGCCTGTGGAACGGGCAGGAGGCATCCCAGGACACCAGGGGCTGCTGCCCATGGCTGGTCCCTGCCTTGCCCCAGCATCAGGGGTTTTGACATGCACTGCTTCAAAGAAGCTGCAATAGAAAAATGCTTTTGCTAAGTTCTTCTCAGGTAAAGAAACTGTCTTTGAACAAAGTCATGGAAGAAAGTTTACTGGCAAGTGTGGCGTAGAACCACAGAGCCTTATCTGTCCCTTGGGGAAGTTTTCGTTTTGGAGTGGCAACAGTTCCAGGGGTGAGGATGAACTGTGGCAATTGCTGAGACTTTTACGTTCCTCTTATTTTATTTGGTGGGTTTGTACCCACCAAAATGTGTAGAAAACAAAGACCTTGCCTGTGAGTTGAGCTGTGTTGGGACTTACAGGCGCTCTAATGTGGACACAGCAGCACATGCAGCAACATCTTAGGAGACCAGGACAGAGTCTAACCTTCCCATACTCAGCAGCCAAAAAAAAATTAGGCTGATGATTAAATTCAGAACTGTTTTCTGTTAGGAAACTCCAATTTCTTCCTGCAGCTTGCCCCCATGCACTGGGACACACAGGAGAAGCTGGCATGTCCCAGAAGGTGCAGAGCCCCAGCCCTGCTGGCAGGGAAGATCCCAGGACCTGTTCAGTGGTGCTTAGTACCCCAAAGCCATAAAAACCCTTCAGTTTAAAACATTCCATGTGAGCTTCAGCAAAGGAATCACCCCTCCAGCAATCAACCACAGCACATGCTGGGCTGCACAATTGGTTGTTTTCTAATACCAAGAAACCACATTTAAAAAAAGAGAAAAGTATATATTGCAGCCCAAACCAGAACAGTTCCTATTTCAACCCATCCTGACCAAGTCCCACAGAGGCTGTTCATCCTGAGATAGGCTCTCCCATGAAGAAAGGGGAATAAAAAGCAAGTCAGCCCCAACCTTCCATAGGCATGTTTCCTGGCAGGGGAATGCATGGAGAAAATACATTTTAAAAAGAGAAAGGAGAGAATATGTTTCTGGAGTCTGCTTGAGCAAAAGAGTTTTGTGTAAGTGTTTTACACTTCTGGCAACAACAAAAGTTTTGGCTGGACAACTTCCACTTGCCTCAGCAGGGCCACCAGCTCTTTGTCCTGACTTGCTGTGAGCCTGATCTGCCTCTGCCAAATGCCCTGGTCTGGCTGCCCTTGCCCCACCATGGCCCCCATGCATTTCCAGCCAGACATGGTGGCACCATGGAGCACGTCTTGGAGCCTCCATCACACTGCTAAGGACAATCTCTTCCCAGCCCACAGGATGCTTTTCAGAAGCTTGGAAAGCCTGACCCAGAGGATGCTCATCCCTCTGACTTGCCCTGCCAGGTTCAACTGCCCCCCAGGTACATGGACTTTTTCTTAATTGCTGCCTGCATTTCTTTATAATTTCTTTTACTCCCCATTGCTGGGGATGCAGAGCTGCTTCCATTTATCTCCAGAAACATTTAATTTCACTTTTCACTTGCTCCCTCCCTCCTTGCCACTTCTGTTCATTTGCCTTTTAAGCAGATCTCTACCCAAACTGGCACTACATCACTTCTCATGACCCAGATGTTTTACTACTATTTCAGTTCTTCTAAAGTTACTATCCTCCTAACACTGTCATCTTAGAGCACTTGCTACAGCCTCATGAAAACTAGGACTGGGGCAAATCTAAGTCTGAAGGGAGCAAGAAGGGTCTTGCTTTGGGCAGCAGGATCCATCTCAATCCATCAGGTACAGACATTGGCAAGATCTTCCTGATCAGGGCAATGCAGTGAAGATTCTGTAAGAAAAGGCCTCTTCTTCTGCCTCTCACCCTATAAAAGCAGTCCAAGGTCACAGACAGCTGCTTTCCTGCCTGGCAGCACCTTCTTGGCAGGCCAGCAAGGACAGAATAATCACTCTATTCCCTCACTGGACACTTGCAAGAGGAAGCCAGAGCTGTCATGCATGCAAGGCTCTGGAGGACAGCCTGCACACCTTTCAGATGTCCTGTTGCAGTGCCAGCTGAGCTGGCAATGCCCAAACAGGAAGAAATGAAGAAAACAGCCTTATGAGAAACCTTATACACCCAAGCCACTTGATCATGAGTAATGGTCCAGCTTCTGCTGATTGGTTTTGGCCATATTGTTTTGCATTTCAGAGATCTATTGAAAAGAAGTTAATAAAGCACAAGTTTTACTGGTAAATGAATGTGTAGGGGAAGGCACACATCTGTCTCAATATTCACTGTATTTCAAAATGCAGTGGTAGATTTAACTATCTTTCCTCTGCTTGCAATTGCTGCCTTGTCAAGAGGTGGGAACATCTAACCATGTTAAATTATCTAATTTAGGAACAAAGCCCATAAATTCCTGATTTAGACAATATTCACTAGAAAATTCTTGTGTAAACCAAATGCAAAATATAACCAGACATTTCCTAGGGATCAGCCCAAGGACATTAGTTGTTTCTTTAGTTTGCAGTAGTAGAACATGGACATCTGAAGGTCCAGCTCTTCTGTTTGATCACACAAAAGATACTTTGCAGCTGTATAAGATAGAATTTCTTTGGGTTTATTGCTCTTTTTAGTCTCATTAAGGTATTGAATTTTGTGTAAAAACACTGTATGTGTATATATTTCAAACAGCTTGTTTTCAAATCTTTAATTTTTTGAAGTTATTTATACCACATTTAAAGTAATAACAATAACTTTTAAAAAAAGTCAGAGGACTCAGAGAGTAGTCCTGTGTGT